TGAAATAGTAGTTCAATAAAATTTTGAATGCGAGTCAACAAACAAGATGACACAGCCTTTCACCCATGACCCATCTCAAAAGGGTTCACATACACATACAAGTTTCCTTGAGACATGCCCTGTAGAATAGCAGTTTTTTTTAGCTTTACAATCTAATCTTGCCTTGAGTGACTTTAGCTTTGACCTCTGATCAAAACAACACACAAAGTGGTGTTATAATTTCTAATTAAAAACTATTGAAACTTACTAGAAATTACAACTTTGATAATTATTCAAAAGGGTGCAGAACACAGAAGTGAAATTACACCATACCTTTTTATCTACAGAAAAAGACAATTAAAAGCCTGAACAGATATTAGTAAACTCACCACTGTAGAGATCATAGAGGAAGCAGGAAGTCCACCCAGAAGTGATCTTGGTGGAAGAGGTGGTGGAGGAAGAGAGGATTGAAGATCCAAGTGTAATCTTCTCTGCCAGTCAAAACATTTCAATTCTTCTTCAAACCTTCGTCTAAGCCTTTCTTCCTCTTCCATAAGTCTGTAAAATTTTCACAGTTATGTTTATTTAGCATATTAATCAATTCTTCCACATTAAAATAAGAATGTGTCAGCTTAGTCCTTTGATGGATGTCACTGATATCTCAATATTTTCTTTCTCACAGTGCAAATACTCAATCAAAGTGCATAAAACTTACAATAACTATCTATTTACTATATTGCATATGCTTAAAAAAACTCATACAATTTGATTTTATGCTTATATAATTTTATTTTTTAGGTTGTAAAATTTCCAATATTTTTTTTGTATGACACTGTTTTAAAATAGATATTAAAAATACTTTTTTTTTTGCTACTGATCAGAAATTTATATTTATATACAATCAACTTGTTTGATAAACTCATCAACATATTTATTTTGATGATTAACCCTATCGCCACTCCTGGATATAAATGATAAAAAATCCAGTAAAAATTGGACAAGATTTATCAGTGACCTCACCTATCAAAATGGTTTCACCATTACCTCTCTTGTCCATTTTATCATGATTTTTTCCAAGTAGTATTCTTGGTTGAGATCATTTATTTAATTTAGCTTTTCAATAAATATTACCTTACTTTATTTGTGTGTGTTATTTGAATATGATAAATTTAATGTATTCAACAAAAAACATCAGTGTTATCCAGTCAGCTCGTTGTTGCTAACCCTACTTACTAAACCTAACTAAACTTACTTGATATCTTGCCATAGAAGAAGATTCCTGTAGCTTTCAACAAGATATGACTTTAACACAAAAACATCATTACAAATGAATAGAATGTCAAAATAAATAATGAAAAACTCCCCAATTTAAGGACCTTAAGTGTGGTAACCTTCACACTAGGATTCTTTGTTGACACCTACAGGAGCTCCACGAAACTGATATGTTGTCAGTATAAAAATTACCACTTCATTTACTCGACACTCACATAGATAATTACAACCTCTTGCATACAATCATTGATAGCTGCTAGCTCTAGCTATTTTCAAGCAAAGTTATGTTAGTAAAAGTAATTTTACTTATTATTTAAGAAAAATCAATCAATTTTGTAATCTTTCTCTCTTGTGACAAGTTCTCATAATTAAACATCCTCAAACTTGTAAATTAAAGTTTCATATCAAAATTTATTATAATTGACACATCAAGTCTCAAATGTTAATGTCTGTAACCTTATGCCTAGAATATTTTCAATCACATTTTTACAATGCGAGTGAAAATAAATGCAGTGTTTACAGTTGAGGCTCCTCAGAACTGTGTGTTATTAAAGTTGGAATTTTTTCTCGTTTGAAATATACAATATGTTAATTAATGTTGGATTATCAATTCTTCGAGCTAAATCTACTGGAAAACATCTTCAAGTAATATATGCCAGATGGTTATACAATCTCATCAAGGAATTTCTAAAAAAAGAAAAATGTTAATTAACCGATGTCACTATAACCTTACTCTCTGTGTGTCTTGATTCACTTGCTTTGTTATTAATAACAGTTTCAATTAATTTTTTATGTATTTAAAAACTAGCCTCATTTCTCCTCGCCAGCGTTCTTCTTCATAATGCCTAAATAATTCTTCTCTTATCTGCTGTCTTCTCAGTTTCTCTTCATGAGCCTTCTTTTGCCGAAGGTTTTGTTTAAAATCAACAACAAGTTCAGGATCAACTTTTTTCTGGAATAAAAAAGAGAAACCAGTTGCTTGTTATTGTAAAATTCTAACATGAAAACCTTTAACATAATGTTTACAGTACCAAGATACCATCAGGAAGTCATTCAAGAAAAGTTTAGTAAAGATTCTTTATGAGATCTTTACAACATTACAAAAAAAAAAAATCCTTACAAGTTACAAAAATACTAGTTATGAATATTCCTGAAATGTCAAAAACATTAATGTTACAGACACAAGTGAATATCTTGAAGACAGTAACAACAATCAGCATTGTAAGGAATGATGCTGATAAAAGGTATTGTAAAGAACTCGTTAAGTCTTGACGACGCTACTAATAAACAGTACTTTAAGAAACTCTAAGACAATATTGATAAACTACTGTTATGAACCCTTTAAGACTAGACAACAATAGTGATAAAGAGTAATGTAAGGGACCTTCAAATCTTGGCAATGGTACTTTTAAAGATTATTCCACAATCTTTTTATTCTCGATAACATTTATATGAGAAATGAATAAACCAAAGTGTTACTGTAGAAAATCCTTCAGAAATTTGTGTAAGTCACGTGCTGTGCTTGCAATGCTATGGTGAAAACCTCTTGCAAAGTTTCAATGTTATTTACTGGAAACTTTCTGAAATCTCAAACTAATGACTTCTTTTATAGTTCAAAATAGTGTTACTGTAGAAAATCCTTCAGAAATTTATGTAAGTCACGTGCTGTGTTTGCAATGCTATGGTGAAAACCTCTTGCAAAGTTTCAATGTTATTTACTGGAAACTTTCCGAAATCTTAAAACTAATGACTTCTTTTATAGTTCCAAAATATTTTACCTTGTATCGCAAACGATGTCTTTTTCCTTTCAAGTGAATTTCTTTGGCATTAGGGTCATTGAAACGACACTCACACAACTTACACTGGAAAGTTACAACTTTACCTTCATCATTTTTTATCTCTTCGATATAATCTTGACCTAGAAAATAAGTTATAAAATAAGGACAAACCACAAAACATTACGATCATGTCCACTCAATGCCAGGTAAAGCACTAAGATTAAAACAATAATAACATAAAGAACATAACATTTGTAATAACATAAAGAAAATTCTAAAATATTTTTTTACTGTCAACCTTTTTTTATGTTAAATAGATATTTTCATCATTCTAGCTGGATATAATACAACTCAAAACCACCTTGGTATGTTGATATATTCTTAACCATATTACCTCACCTACCAGATGCTGACTTTAAAATATTCAGTTTAAAACTAAAGTGTTCTCGTTAAAAAATGTATACTGACTTACATTTGTATGTTGCAAACAATAATTAGTAAAATATATTTTTTTACAAACATTAAAAAAAAATCATAGAACTGCACTCACTCACTACAGTTAATTCCTTTCATTTATTTATCTTTTGAAAACTATTTTTCCAGTAAGATGTGTCATTAAACACATGGTCATAATGGTTTTAGAAAATGAATTCTGTATCATTCCGAAAACTTAAATTTCTGAGACAAAGCAGATATATGCCCTGTTAACAGTTTTTTTTTATATATATGTTGGCTCTACAACTTACTATTTTCAACAAATACAGATGTAGGTATGCCTCGATAAAAAATTCCCCTCTCAGTTATTTTAGAATAGCTAGCTTTGTTAACTTCAATTTTATGCATTATTCATGATCTACCACTTTCTGGCATTATTTATTAACAAATTTGAGCTTCTTTATGAGCTTCCAAGCGCCTGGTGTGAAAAAGATTACTTTTCTGGCATGTATTATTTTAGCATAACCAAAATTAGGATAAAAACTTTCTACGTTGTAGTTTAAGTTGAATACTTACAAAAGAACATGTGATCTAACATACCATAAAACACAAAATAGTACAGGGCAAATGACAATGATAATGTTAACATATATCAAAATTGGTATGGCCAAGCACAATGATCTGTACACATTTTGAGAAAGGAAGGGGACACAATTTTCCTTGCCCCTTTCCAATTTACCCTGATTTTTGTTCCCTTTTCTAGTTTCATTCTTCCTGTTTTTAACAAGGAATCCTCACTTGGGTAGACTGTTTTATGATCACTGGATAAAAAGTGCTTCACACATAAGAATTGATAAGTGACATCCTAAGGGAAAACACCATCTTATTTTTGTTTTCAGAAGCTCACACAGTTGAGAAAATTAGATAGCTAGAGCTCATTCTTGATATATACGTGCCCCCAAAAGTTCATATAAAACTGGGGGGTGAGAAAGCCCCCAAAAGTTCATATAAAACTGGAGGGTGAGAAAGCCTCCAAAAGTTCATATAAAACTGGGGGGTGAGAAAGCCCCCCAAAAGTTCATATAAAACTGGGGGGTGAGAGAGATCGGGTGAAACTTTCTGTCTCAAAATTAGAAGTCGGTGAGAAAAAATGGAATCAATCCACTAATGAATAATTTGTATTTTTCAGCAACACAAATTATCTAGAAGATCGAGTTCACGAAGATCTTATCAAAACTTTGTTGGAATAAATGTATTTTATTTGTTCAGCTGGCCATAAAATTGAGATAGCCGAGCAGGTAGTGATTTACTATTTTATAAAAGTGATCTTTATATGGTTCTTTCAGCAGTTGCTTTATTTCAAAATATTGGTTAGTAAACACTGCTTAATCAAATTATCTTTAAAAGTTATTTAATTCTTTTAGTTGACCATGAACTTTAGAACATATTTCACAAAACAATTTAGTCACAAAATTAATGTAACAGTTATTTGGGGTGGGGCAAGTAGTGTCAAAATATAGTAAAAACTTTGTTATGCATCTTCATATCTGGAAAGCTCTTGTAAACACAAATTTCAATAACTCCAAACACAAGTACTCATTGTAGCTTAGAAGCACTGTTGTAGCTTTGTTTACATATTTAGCTTTAGTTGTTAGCCACCTATACTGTGATTCACATTTAAAATACTGTAAATATTTTTATACAGTTTAAATTTTTTGAAACACTTATTGTTATAGATGATGTAGAAATACTGTCATTTAGAACATTAACAAGATGTCAAAACTTTCCTGTAAAAAATTATATGGGAAATGCTCTTGCGACCAGAATTTTTAACCTATCCAGCACTCCCCAGGCCCGGAGGATGCTGAATAATAAAGTTTTACTGCACGTATAAAAAATGATATCTGAAATGATGTTAAATCAGTAAAAACAGAAGCATTCAAACCAAAAGCTAGTCAATCAGCAACAATCTGTAAAAGATGGAATAACTTGCACTGGCTGAAGCTCTTTACAAGTGCCAGATCACCAAACAGAAAATAAGTACTCAATCATTCAACTATCAAAGATTTCAAATTAATCCAACACAAAACTGAAAATATTACTGAAATATTCACTTAGAGATTTTTTATTGTATCAGCTATATGCCAAAAGTCTAAAGCAAAATTTTTACAATATTATTATTGTTAACAAAGACCGTGTCATAACCTAAAATGGACTAACTAGAGATTACAGGAAACAGCTGCTTTACAAAGAAAATTAACTTTGTTAATTGTTGTAAGCTGGCAAACTTAGCACTTAAAATACTAAAACAATGAAAACAAAATTTTAACTTTACAGAAACAGCTTCTGGATCTACAATTATGGGGTTTCTTAAACAACCTTTCTAAAGGAAACAACTTATACACACTGAAAATACTAAAACAATGAAAACAAAATTTTAACTTTACACTTTAACAGACATGCCTTAAATTTTAAGGCTTTTAAACAAACCTTCTAGATCTGAAATTAAAGACTTTTAACAACTGTTTAAGGCCCTCTGTTCAACAACTGTTTAAGGCCCTCTGTTCAACAACTGTTTAAGGCCCTCTGTTATCATTTAAGAATATTAAATATGTGGTAACTAAATTTTATCAAACGTTTAACATCTGTACAGTTTTTAAAGAAATATGAAAATCTTTTAGTTAGTATCATCTTAGATTATTTAAAAGAGAAAGAAATAAACAACAACGGAATTTCATTACTCTCATCTTTTAGAAACATACAAAAGAAAACTTATTACCATGGTTAATTATCTAACTACCATTTGTCAGTTAGTTTAAGCCACATATAACCACTCATGATAACCAACATTCAAACATATTCCGTTACTTCTTTTTAACTTACCAATTAATTGAGTATCTGTCTTTTCATCTAACTTAAGGGTGTCAGTCTTGACATCTGAAACTGTTGATAAAAAAAAGAGCTGAAATGTCTAGTATGTCTTATTAACTTTCAAACACTGCTTATAAAAAACTAAAACATCTTGCATACAGGACTTTGAAGCTATCTTTAAATACACAAAAGAAAAAAAACTACATCATTGTTATAGACCTCTTTAATTCTTCTTAAATCATCCTCATGCCCCAATAAACTTTGGTGGCTTCTGGAGGATCTGTTAATTACCACTTGTTGTAGTAATTAATGGCAGTAATGGTATGCATATAAGTGTTATGTAATCTGGAATATTTAAAGATGGGCCTAAATACTTTATTTTGTTCAATTTTGGGTGATATATGCCTATATAGATCTCCTACATGCCAGACCAATTTCTTAAGCAGACTTTAATGACTTATAAATTATTTTAACAATTGAAGTTATAACATAACATGATGTAAAAATACCTTAATACCAAATTATGTTTTTAAGAGTTCTATAAATTTTAGGAATGTATTACTTGGATATTAGTTTTCTACATTTCATATATAAAGAAATTATTTTTGATATTTTTTTTTTAACTTACACCTGACAGACACACAGACTCTTCTGTGTGAATATTTCAGTTCTGTTATTACAAATTTTGAATTCATGTATACCCTCCTACTGCCAACGACTTACCAGTAAATTTTAACCAAGAGAAAATCACTTTCAACCACACTCTTCTGGCAGTAATAAACTCTCACAAAAGTTTATATACATAGAATTTGGTTAATTAGATATTTCCTGTTGTAACATTTACAAAAACTTAAACTCTAAATATTACAAAGAAGATGATTAAGTTGTAAGGAGATAATTACATTTTATCCACATAGCTTAACAACTAGATTCAGAATTTAAAGTTTTTTACAGGGATAAAATGAAGACACATAGTTTTGAAAGATGCTATTTGACTTGTAACCACATATCATTTACTAATGTTATTATTGTGATGTTTTATTAAGATAAAATAGTTAAAAATCCAAACCAATTTTACTATCAGCACAATGGATATAACATGTCAATGTATGAAATTTGTTCCTTATTTTTTAACTCAAATAGTTTCAAAACTATGGATTTTTAAGTTGATGTAAAAAAACCAGCTAAGATTCAATTTTCTACACATTTCTTTTATACTTCCAAATTACTAAATTTAATAAAATCATAAATATATCATTTTAAAACTGGAATCATTTTCTTCCTTCTTTACATGGATTGTAAATTTTAGTATTTCAATTTGTTCATATAATAATTTGTTCGTATGATAATAAAAAACTATTTTAAAATGTTCTTTGGATATCAAACATATGTATTTGAAGTGTTTCAGACATTTCATTTTTATTAATGTACAGTCAGAGGTGGTGGATTTAATACAACCAGTAAAAAAATGGTTGAAATGTCACTAATAAAAGCCATTCTAGCTAAACCTACTCTCTAAGTGATATGTTCTACTATTTCTTACCTGCAAAATTTGTTTTAGGAGATTCTGTAACTTTCTTAGAAGGTATTGCCTCACTAACTTCACATACTGTTTTCATTTCAACAGTGTTATTGCCTCCAGTTTTTGTATCCACAGTAGTGGATGCTGCAACGGGTTCTGTGGATGGAATTGGTTTGCCCAATCTTGTATGTAGCTTAACCACCTGAGAAAAATATTCCACGGTTAATTTTTATAGGTTTGGGGAAGTAGCCTGAAAAAATTATTCATGACAGCAAAAACCTGCAGAAAAAAACACTTTTATATACTAAATCTTAAGGATTGTCTTGGCACTTACTGAAGGAAAATGTACACTTATTAATGTGTTATTATAACTTTTGAAAATAAACCAGCTAGTATACATCTTTTCAACTCTAACGGTACATACATATGACTCTACTAAAATCTTTTAACCACCTTATCAACAAAACAAAAAAAAAGAGAACAACTTGATAATTAAAAAGAATTAACTTATGCCTAAAAATTAATTTTTTTTGGAATCCAAATATATTTCTGTATTTGAATTTATATTTATGAGTATCTGCTGCTGTCCCTAATTTTGAACAACTGACCAAGAGGGAATACAGTTGATAAGTAGCACCACTAAAACACCCACACTAAAAAACTGACTACTTGACAGTCACTCTTATAATGCACACACAGCTTAAAGCATGGGTATATTCTGTGAAGTCACACAAGTTCAAACCCAGCTCTGAAATCCAAATTTCTATGACAGCCTCCCCCCAAAAATAACAAAAGTTAAACCTTTACTTTAATGGAAAAAAAATTACAGACTTACATCTGAGGTCATTTAATGTAAAATGTTTAAACACCTTGAGTAAAAACTCTAAATACAACCACGATTGGATTAATCAAGTTTAGAGTTTTGATACAACGACACAAAATTGATAGTTTTTAAACATTTATATCTTTATGTTGTTGTTCTTGCATTATAAACGACAGTAATTACAACAATTTCACTGTACCTTTTGATGTTTGGCTCCACGAATATGAGCTGCATAGGCATCACTTCCTGTACAAGTGACATCGCACAACTCGCATCTAAGTATAGCACCTCCTCGAGTACTATGAGGTATGACATTACTTGCCTTCAAGGAAGCCTCTCTCTTCTTATGTTTTTGTCCCTCAACATGTTCTTTGTAAGTCTTAAACAACAAAATTCAATATAGTTACCTAAACTTCAATTATATTAATTTTATATTTACCAAATACATTCTTCACATATAAATTGGGGAGAAGTTAAACGTTTTTTTGAAAACTTTATTAAAGTTATTTATATTTTAAGTTCATATTTTATATATTTTAAAAGTTACAAAAACTCTCAGAACACCTTCTAAAAAAAATTACTTAAAACCAGTTCTCATGATAAAAAAAAAGGATATTTATTAAGATATTTGTATAACACTAAACCAATATTAACATTAATACTAATATACATTTTTATTACTAATATCAACTGGAAATATTTAAAACATACATCTACCATTCATAAATCAAATAAAGTATTTTGGTATTTGTTTAACAACAAATGAAACAGCTTAAGAACTGACATTTTTCAAATCGGTGCAATTTGTTTTATCTATTTATTGATAATTAGTACACATTGTAATATATATATTGTTAATTTGTGGGTGTTACCCATCTAAAACAGTCAACTTAATGTAAGTTATGCTTATACTTTAATACCATGTTCAACCTATTTTAAGTTACAGCAATATATATTAATTTTATACAGTATTATGTTAGGTTGATAAGGTGGTCTGTTACAGGATTGTAATATATATATATATTGTTAATTTGTGGGTGTTACCCATCTAAAACAGTCAACTTAGTGTAAGTTATGTTTATACTTTAATACCATGTTCAACCTATTTTAAGTTACAGCAATATATATTAATTATGTTAGGTTGATAAGGTGGTCTGTTACAGGATTGTAATATTTTGTGGACAAACTTTGTACTCTCACCAACACCCCCATTTTCACAAATTAGATGTTTCCTACCATATATTGAACCCCAGATATTAATTTTTTGTGATAAATTCAACAATCTTCTTGGAATTACTTATTTTACCAAATAGCACAACCTTGTCACAACAAATATATTTATCTACAAATGATCAACTTTAGATGTTGATCACCATTAGTTTCATCTCGTTTCTTTTCAACACGTCACTATAGTATACATCATTTGTTAAGTCACATTAGTTTCTGTTAATTAGTTTAACTGTCATATTTACCAATCTTATGCTCACTCCGTGAATTGCCCGTGTGTGTGTGTGTGTGTGGAGGGGGGGGGGGTAAATTGGATTAATTGCTAGATTAACGTTATTATTTTCATAGTATATTACTGTTCATATACAAGTTTTTTTACTGTATTATCTGTACTGTCCCCACTACCCAACTCTGTACTTTAAACACTATTGTGTTGTAGCAATACATGTCAGGTGTTAAGATAATGATACAAGGTCACAGTAATTCAAATGATTTTCACTGGTCACTAAATGTTACCATACATTATATAAAGTTTTTTTATTTTTTCCATACTGGTGTAATGCTTTCCTAGAGACAAGGAATTGATGATGGTGAAGAAACAGAAACTAGTTGTTTTTTATTTCTTAACGTAAATTATTTTATACTCTTTCTTTAATCTTAGTTTCATTGTTTAAAATGTTTTAATGTTAGTTCAGTATATGGGTTTAGGAAAATATAAATTTCCTAGGCTCATCAGTTGTAGAATTATGGCCAAAAATATCGCTAACAGTAATGGGCCACGAACTGATGAATCATGCATTCAAACTATTATAAGTTTTAGTATAATTACAGAAACCTCAACAGGTCCTCTATTGTGATACGTGTAAAGTCAGCTGTGCTGGTCCTCAGGTGAGTGGGTTCCAAAACCTTCATTCCTTTATAAATATGAGAATAGCTTGTGGTAAGGAGTGTCACTGACTTGATTGTTAATGTCAGCTTGTTATGGTTATCCTTTTACCCTTTTTCTTTGCTCAAATTCCACAAGTTCTTTCTTGAAACAGTAATTTTGTGACATGATTGTCGTTAACTTCAATTGAAAGAAGGCTGTTTACGTTGATCACAACTAAATATGAACCCTGTATTTAATAATATGGAATATGCACGGTGGTGGTTTTGGTCTTTGAGGTTTTCCAAAACCTTTCCGAAAGTTCCCCCAATTATTAGGCTGGTTTTTCTGTTTCATTCCAGGTCCACTAGTATTCCTCTGTAGATTCTCTGCAATGATTCTATTTCTTCCAACACCTGCTTCAATATCGATAGGATGTTGCATAAAATTTGCTGCAAAGAAGTATTAAATTATGTAATCTAATTATCTTATTAAGGTGAGTTCATTTCTTGTCTTGAAAAGCTTTTACCTTAACTACAAACTTAAGTGTAGGTTATAATACAAAATTGTTCCTTAAATATTCTTTATGCTCGTACACGTACAAGTTTAATTTATTCAGGGTAAAAGTTTAGATGCTGCGCAAGTTACACCTTACTTTTGGATATTACTATAGCTCGGTGTAAATTTCAAACACTTCTGATACTTATATAGAAATAAGGTAATAATTTTTGTTTTATGGGTGAAATACTTGCCAGTGTTAAAACACAACTGAAATGGTTAATAGTAAAGCACTGCTATTCAAAGATCACTATTAATACAAAACACACTGCCCATACTACAACTACACACTTTTTAGATCAAATGAGAATTTTACCCACTCTTCAACAAACCTGTATCACTCAACTTCGAAATTTCCTCATCAGAAGTTCACTATTACTGTGAAATAACTTTCCAAACAGATTTTACACCACTTTATCGATGAACTTGCTGTAACTGTCCACATTAACACTTACCACTGT